CCCTGTTCAGCATGGAAGAAGCTAGAGCAGTCTGCGTCCCGATTCCCTATTGGCAATTTGGGAAACCTCTTCAGAGGATGGCGTGATAAGAATAGGAGGTAGGAATTTGCTAGGCAGTTAGGGTAAAAGACCCTAAAAAAAAGTAGCCAGTTTCTTGGCTAAAACTCACAATGTCCTTGGGCCTCTTAGCAACATACTCCGTTCCAAAGGCCAAAAATGTCGAAAATATTTGAGATCTTTTATCTAATCCTTAAAAGATTTTAGAGTTACCTCTTCAGAGGGGGAAATGTTAGAGTAGCCAAAAGCCCCATAAAAAAATAAGTAAATAAATAAATAAATAAAAGAATAAGAAAGAAAGTACATGAAGTTATTAGAAAAAAAGTGATTGGGAGGGCTGGAGAGATAGCTCAGTGGTTAAGAACACTGATTGTTCTTGCAGAAGACCCAGGTTTGAATCTCAGCACCCACATGGTGGCTAACAACTGTCTGTAACTCCAGTTCTAAGACCTGACAGCCTCTTCTGTCCTCCGCAGGCCTTGCATGACATGGGTGCACTTACCTACATGCAGGCAATACACACATAGACATAATTTTTTTAAAGTGGGGAGATATGGGAGGATCTGGAAGGGGAGGGAGTGGGCATGGGTTTGATCAAAACACTTTATATGCATGTATGAAATTCTCAATAAATTATTTATTTGAAAAAAAAAACAAAACTCATTTTTTTCTTTCAGGTGATTTTTAAATTCTTTATTTTATATAGTACAGGCTGAACTTGAACTCACTATATAGGTCCAGGTTGACCTCAAATTCATAACCTTCCTGCCTCAGCTTCCCAGATATTAGGGTTACAGACGTACACTGCCACATCAAGTGCAAAATCCACTCATGAGGGCAAGAACTATGTGATCCTAAGTAATATACAAATATTTCTTCAGTTTCCTCTTCTGAAAAAAAACTACTTATTTCTTCTAAACCATGAAACTCTAAGGCTAAACTGTCTAAATGCTCACCACAGCACGTGGCACAGACTAATAATTTAGTACAGAGTAAATGTTAGCAACAGTAATAGGCAATAGTATCACCATGAAGAAGGAAATTGGAAAGAAAAATCAATCTGGAACTCATTAAGTAGACCAGGCTGACCTTGAGCTCAGAGATCCACCTGCCTCTGCCTCCCCAAGTACTTGGATTAATGTTGTGAGTCACCACATCTGGCTGGAAATTTCTTTTTTTGTTGAATTTTCACGATTTTCATACAGTATAAGGGGGGGTGATGATATTTAGATCCCCTCCCCCATCCGCACCTTCCTCCACCATGCGCCCCCCCCCGCTCAATTCAATATACTCCACCATATATACACTACAGTCTATAGAGTCTGATTTGTATTCCCACGTATCCCTCAGCATGGGTTCAACCACTGGAACTTGGTTAACCTAATAAGAGTCTCATCCCTATAAGAGACTGCCTCTCCCCCTCCCCAGAAGCTATCAGTTGCCAAAAGTTCCTTAGGATGGGTTGCAATTTTTACCCACTTTCCCAGTTCTATGCTGGAATTTTGTCTGGTTTGAGCTTGCATGGCACTTGTGTATGTTTCCACCATTATTATGAGTTCATATGTGTAACTGACCAGTAGTCTAGAAAACTCTGAAACCTTTGCTTCCTTGTGGTTATACATCACCTCTGGCTCTTACAGTCCTTCTGCCCTACTCTTCCCCAACGATCCCTGAGCCTTGGGAGATAGAAGTTTGTTTGAAAAAGCTGTCCTATTCAGGGATGAGCACTGTGCAGCCAATTTTCTCTGCACATTGGCCAGTTGTGGGTTTCTGTGTTAATTACCATCTGCTGCATAAGAAAGATGCATTCATCTTATGTGTAGAGGTTGCACTGAAATTGTGTCACTTGGGGATAAGCATCTCACAGACAATTATTCTCTGTATTTGACCAGTTGTGGAACTCTGTGTTTGTCTCCATATGTTTCAAAAAGAAGCTTCTTTGATGAGTGGTAAGAGGTACACTTGTCTATAAATATAAGGATGCATATTTAGAATACAGAAAGAAATTATATTGGTCTAGGGATGTGGAAAAAGTAGGGGTTTTTCTAGGATCTATGACCTCTCCAGCCATGTGAATTTGGCTATGTTTACAGTACCACACATGAGTTCCCTAACACTGAGTGGGCCTCGAGTCCAATTAGGATTATCCTGAAGATAAATGTGCCACAACTCCACCAACAGCAATAGCTTACTGGACCAGTTATTGTTGCTTATTAGGCTTTACAGCTGAGTGGGACCATTGATTTGTTTTCTCCCTTAGCAGCTTTTTTTTTTTTTTTTTTTTTTGAGACAGGGTCTCTCTATAGTCCCAGCTGTCCTAGAACTCCCTGTGTAGACCAGGCTGGCCTTGAACTCACAGAGATCCACCTGCCTCTGCCTCCCAAGTGCTGGGACTACAGGCGTGCGCCACCACCTTAGGAGCTTTCATAGCATCCTCTGATACGGTGAGAGCTAGTCTTCAGGGAGGAGGCTTATCAGTCAGTTCCAGTTCCATTGTTCCAAGTCCTATGTCCTAAGTATAGCCTGTCTTCAGAAATAGGGTCTTACCTTCAAATTACACTTAGATGGTGTGAAAACCCAGAGGACAATATATTAATTCAAAGCTCTACTGAAAAATACACATATTTGTGTGTGCATATATATATATATATATATATATATCAAATGTATATAGCTGAAGGCTATATAACAACAACAAAATAGTGTTGGGCAGGAGAAATCACCCTTCGATTTGTTGGTCAAGGTAGTCCAAGAGACTCCCAAAATAACACAGGCTGTTGCCATTGCTCTTAAATTGCCTCCCAGAATTTGAAGATAAGAGCCTATTGCTGGCTGGAAGTTTCTTGAATCTTAGTGTTCAAATTATGAGTAACCAAATCAGCTTCCAACTGATATCAAAATAACATGTTAGAAATTTTTCTACATTCCAAATGATAGAATATCAACATTTTGGTGTGAAGAGATGGTTACAAACACTGGCTGCTCTTGCAGAGGACATGGGTTCAGTTCCCAGCACCCACTAGTGGTTAACAATAATCCTTAACTACAGTTCCAGAGGATCTGACACCCTCTTCTGGCCTCTACAGGCTTCACACACATGGGTATCCTTATTTACTTGCAGGAAAAAAACACTTATACACACAAAATAAAAATAAATCTTAAAAAAAGTCAACATTTCATAGATACCATAATAGCAGTCGATGTAAGTGAGATGTATCAATAGTTGCTAAAATCATTGGATGAAAGTTTTCTGGTGTGAATGGTTAATGTTGATTATCAACTGAAGAATCTAGAATCACCTGGAAGATGAGTCTCTGGGTTACCTATGAAATAACAGTGGATAAGATACAAAAAGAGGCTCCTGAATTTGGGGTTCCTGTTTTGGGTTTCTACCCTCACAATGAGTAGAGTAGGCTTCCACTAGCACATTATCCCATTAAAGATGAGAGTCACTTAAACAGGGCCAGGTTAGATTAGCCCAAACTCATAGCTGACTAAACTCACAACCCATCCCCTAGACACATGTGTGAACCCAGTCACAATCAGCAGGAAGCCCAATGTAATGAAACCCTTCAATTTCCTAAGAAGCAAATATGCTAATTCCCCTTGACTTCTGGTGGAGTTCTGTCTTGATAAAACTAAAATAACATCAGGCCAGACATGGTGGTGTACATCTTTAATCCCAGCACATGGGAGGCAGAGGCAGGGGGATCTCTGAGAAATTGAGGCCAGACTGGTTTACATTGTGAGTTCCAGGCCAGCTATGGCTACAGGGAAACTCTGTCTCAAAAAACAAACAAACAAATGATAAAAAAAAAAAACTAAGAGAATACCAAAAAAATCACAAGTCAAACCTCTATAAGCAGGAGGACATCTATATAAAGACTACAGAAGACCACAGACTGGGTAGTTTAAATACAGAAACTTATTTTCTAGCCCTTGTAGGGGCTAGAATCCCAAGATATTCTCCTTTAGAAGTGTAAAAGAGCTGCTGAAAACACTATTTTCTTATTCATCATATAATCAATAGCCCCCCCTTCTATCTGTACTAGCCTTTAATTCTTAGGAGGAAGCCGTGCTATGTACTGACAAAAGTACTGACTCTTTTTTGTTTTATTGAATCATAATCAGTGTCAGATTTACAAGATTTAATGAGGGAATAAAGAACAATGGGGTGTTTATGAGGCTGTAGTGGTATGTGGTATACATAGTATGTCCAGAGCAAGTTGCACTGGTGAGAGCAAGTGCTTCCAGGTTGCTCCTGTCCTTGTGTTAATGGTTGTATTAGACAGGCTGTATTAAACTCTCCTCTAAGGAGAGTTTGTTCTTGTTCCAGTTGTAAGAGTTCAATAACTGTTTTCCTTGAGGGATTTGTCCCAGAGTAAATACTCTGGGGCTAAAGGATTCTAAAATTCTACTTCCAAACACAGTCCACAATTCCCCTTGCTTATCTTCCCAGGCTAAGGAATAGCTGGGAAAACTTTGCCTGAGGTTTATGACCTTGATCTCCAGGGCCGCAAAGCAGCAGGGACATTTTTTAAGGTACCAACAGCCTCTGAAGGCTTTGCAGATAGATAACTGATTATAATAGAATGAATGCTCTTGAATAAACACCAGCATGTCTGCTTTTCATTGATGAGCTCGTGTTACTACTCAAGTGAATATTTTTTCCACTTGTCTTTGCTTCTTATTTTTGTGTGTGTAAAAGCAATCATGTTTTAGTCATGCGCTAAAAATGGCTAATAACCATAAGCATGGATTTAAAAAATTAAGAATCAAAATACAATGCTAAAGAATTTCACAATGGGAGGATCCATGAAAATTCTTTACTACATACATTATGATTAGCAGACTAGTAAATCTTAACTGGAATGATAAGATAAAAACAGCAAAACCACACTTTTCCTATAAAAAGTTACACAGCATCTTCTGAGGGACAGCTATCATCCAGGATGGAACAGAGTTGTGACCACTCTACTGCACGTCCAGTAGGCCCGTGGAATCTGAAATGAAAGGGGTCTAATCGTCCTTTCCTTTCCATCACCCTCAGCATCTCGTTTCCTCTTCTTTCCCCGAAGAACTTCTTCTTCCTCTTCCTCCTATTCTTCCTCTTCATCAATGTAATCATTAAAGTCGTCTTCATCCTGAATTTCTTCTTTCATTATGAGAGGCCTACTTCCTCTTTGTATTCTCCCTCTGAGCCTGCTTCATCCTCATCTTCCTCTTCCTCTTCCTCCTCCTCTGTGGGGAGCCGCCTGCCGTCCCTGCAGACGCCATTATAAGATGGCGCTCACATCCGGTTCATGCTGAGCAGTAAATAAGTCAGTACGCATGCCCGAAGTAATTTTCCACCTTCTAGTCTCTGCCTACCTCGTGGCGTGATATGGGCTGATGAGTTTGCAACCAATCAAGAGTTGCCACGTCCAAGATGGGCTTACTAACCTATATAAGGGCTGGGTTTCCGACATTCGGGGTCTTCGCCCTGTAAGCTTATGCTCTCCCTCTCAAGATGCATTAAAGCTTTTCTGCAGAAGGATCCTGAGCGTGCCGCGTCGTTCTTGCTGGAGAGACGATAGCGCGGGACACTCCTCCTCTTCAAATGCTTCAAATCCTTCAATGGACCAGCATCATCTTTTCCTCATCTTCCTCTCCATCCTCATTATCCTCTTCTGAGTCTGGTGCTTCCTTATCCTCCTGATCAAATCCATCCAAGTATGTGATTTGCTGCAGCAGTTCAAAAATACTTTGTAATCTTCCAGGTTTGTGATCTCACAGTTAAACAGGTCAAGACTTTTCAAATTTTTAAGATTTTTCAGGGGCTCTACTGTACTGAGATCTTTGATTTTCTTTCCACTCAGATTGAGGTAGGTAAGATTTGGATATTTCCCTGCCAGGACTTCCAAGCCTCCAGAAATTTATATTGTCACTAAGTTCAAGCTTGCAAAGTTTATTTAAGCTGGGCCAATGAAATCAATTCTACATTCACCATACTCAGAAAATCAAGTTCCTTAAAATTATCATTCAGGCCTTCAATTTCCCCATTGACACATAAACAATTATCAAGGACTAACTCTGTCACTTGGGTGATCCCAAGTGCAGGGCTCCTGGCCAGCTGGGCAGAGGGAACCCACGAGCAGCAGGGACATAGAGAATTTGTCTTTGCTCCTTAAAACATTGGCTAATGGGGCTTGAAAGGTGGCTCAGTGGTTAAGAGCAGTGGCTGGTGCCAGGCATGGTGGTGCACACCTTTAATCCCAGCACTGAGGAGGCAGGAGCAGGCAGATCTCTGTGATATCAAGGCCAGCCTGGTCTACATAGTGAGTTCCAGGCCAACTGGGGCTACAGGGAGACCCTGCCTCAGAAAAAAAAAGAAAGAAAGAAAAGAAAGAAGGGAAGGGAAGGGAAGGAGGCACTGGCTGCTCTTACAGAGGACTTGGGTTCAGTTTCCAGCACTCACATAGCAGTTAACAACCTAAAAACCATCTGCAACTCCGGTTTCAGAGGGATGCAACATCCTCTTCATGGGCATTGCATGACATGTATGCACATACATACATGCAGGCAAAACACTCATACACATATGTCCTAGTTTGTTTCTCCATTGCTGTGACAAAACACTCTGACCACTACCAACTTGGGGAGGAAAGGGTTTATTGAGATTACATCTCCCAGGTCGCAGTTCATTAGGGAGCCCAAGGTAGGAACTCAGGGCAGGAACCTGGAAGCAGGAGCTGGAGCACAGGCCATGGAGGAACTCTGCTTACTGGCTTGCTCCCCTGGCCCCTGCTCAGCCCGCTTTCTTATGCAACACAGGCCCACCTGTCCAGGGATGGCACCACCTGCAGTGGGCTGGGCCCTCCCATATCACTCAACAGTCAAACAGGTGCCCCATGGACATGGCTATAGGCCATGAAGGTGTTTCCCCAATTGAGGCTCCCTCAACCCAGGTGTGTCAAGTTGACACTAAAGCTATCCAGAACAACATATAATAAAAATAAGTAAATAAATAAGAAAAAATTTGAAAGTAAACATATTGGCTCAGCAGTTGCATTGGCTGCTCTTCCAGAAGACCACAGTTCAGTTCCAGTTCCTAGGACCCACATGTGGTTAATAATCATCCTTAATTCCAGTTCCAGTGGATATGATGCCCTCTCTTCTGGCCTCTTTGGGCATTGCATGAACATAGTGCACTTATATACATGCAGGAAAGCACCCGTGCACATAAAATAAAAATAAATAAACACTGGCAAAAGTTCATACAACTACACTGCAGTTGCAAGGAGAGCCATCCTACTCTCTTTTTATTATTATCATTATTAATATAATGAAGCAGAAAAATGTAGTTTCAAATTAAGATTGCCAATATCACCAACTTTTTTATTTAGTAAAGAATTAAAATGTCAACAAATTGTTAACAACTTCTGGGTAAGAGATTGGATGAGAAATATCTTCCGTGTGTCAGTGAAAGAGACAAAATAATGCATAATTTCAACACAAAACACAGCTCTCACCTCAAAGGGAATAAGAAATAGTGTATTGTGGAACTAAACACGAATGATCATTACCAGTGTTAGAAGTGGGAGTCTCATGAAATCCAAAATATTTCAACAAGGCAAAAAGCTTGACTTCTGCAGAATGGTGAGTAGCACTCTAAATCCAGGAAGCAAGCACCCCCAACAGGGGTCCCACTGGGTGTTTATTCCTAATGCAAAGGGAGCCTGTGCCTCACTCTAAATGGTCATAGCTGGGTCTCACACTCTTACATGGTTGGATAATTCAAAACAGTGGAGCAGTTAAGAAAAATGCAGCATTTGAGAGCAGGATGCAAACTTGACTACAGACATTAACCTTGGAAAAATGCTGACTGGGGGAGGGAATTTTGCCAGGTGGTGTTTTTGTGATGAGACACCTCAGGACAGACCACAGATACAACATGTTGCAGCCCTAGCTGCTCCCAGTAACTGTAACCAAGAGGCCGTTGACTCAAAGTTTGGCCCAGCACCAAGGTGCGGGTTTTCAAACAGGTTGGCATGCACCTGGTTGCTCCTGCTAACAGCAGATTTACAGCTTCTGTACTTTCTGCTTGGCTTGCTCTTGCAGAATAGAAATTGTTAGGGGGGCTTTCCATCCTTAAGCTTGAGATTTTAAACTTTTCACCCCTGAGTATGGATTTTCTATATAAAAGCTTACCCTAAGAACAGCTCGGAACTGAACTTGGGATCAATTGCCCAGTGTAGTCACCAGAAAGCTATAAAGACTTTCTTTTGGCAGTACTTTATGTCTGAGCGGTCTTCTCTGGTGAAATACCTCACAACATTTTTATAAATTTCTTTAAAGATGAAACTTTGCTTCATTTATTCTTTTGACAGAAAAGACATTATATTTCATGTACATTTCCCACACCCAGGAACACAGATTAAGGTTAGCCCAAACACCATGTTTGAACATGGTAACAGTTTTATGCAGTTTTCATAATAAGAAAACAAAGGAAATTATAAGACAAGACACTTTCAAAATACAGTGGTGGGCTGTGGGAGACAGGCTTGAGCCTAGGGTGACAGTCTTATTGACAGCCATAGAGCAGGCCTGAGGCAACAGCCCCAGGGACCATTGTGGAGCCACAAAGAACACCTTGTGACATTTGCTCCCATTGGCAGATCATGAGACTGATGCCTAGAGCTCACCACTCCCTAATCACCACCCTTGGAATCCAAAATTCAACACTTAGGGTTATGTGGTTTCCAGGAATCCAGGCTCTGTAATCTGAAACCTGTTATGCTAATGAGGTATCCTACTTGCTGTGCTGTGATTGGACCACTATCCCCATATAAGCTTGTGCCTTCCTGCAATAAAGCAGATCTGTGTCACTTATGCTGGTCTCCTGCAACTGAATGTGGCGACGCTGGCACAGACTCCTTATCAGCCCTGGGGTCTGGACTGGACAAATGATCTGAGGAACTGAGAGAGCAGGAGAACAGCCATAGCCAGAGGAGAGCAGCCACAGCCAGTGACCACGCCTGGTGCCCAAACATGGGGCTGGGACCCCATCCCCACAGAGCTGTAACACTGAGCTATAACACCTTGGGCTCCCGATGCCCCATTTCTAGGTGCTCTTCCTGTGGTTGCTCACTGCTTTCATTTTGTTCTTCTTTTTCTTCTGGCTCATGATCTTCGGTGCTCCTGCCTTCGCTGATCGTCTCCTTGAACGGTTCTTGAGTCCCTTTGGGTCTGTCTTGCAGGGTGAGTGACCTCCAGTATGGGGAATAGTCATCCAGCTTCTGCCAGCCCCTGCGCTGCTGCACTGGTTCCTCTCCTCAGGAGTAGGCATATTAGGGTAACAGAAAAGTATGTAACTAAGGTTTTAGATGAAGTACTAGCTCTTGCCCCCTGGTTTACAGATTCTTTTTGCTGGGATCCTGAACAATGGGCTTGCATTTTATTCTTGGCCGTAGAGAAGTCAGGGAGGGACGCCCACAGTCTGGGCTGTTCTACCCCATTGTGACAGCCGTTCTGGCCTCCCTTCAGGGGATTCCCCCCAAAGTCCCTGAACAGGACAATCTCCTATTAAAGGAAATAGATGAGCAAATGCAACAACAGGATGCTGGGGATGGAGTGTCCCAGGCATTTCCAGTTAAAACAAAACTAATGGATTCTTGTTCTGATGAAACTATGACTGTTAATGGTGATATAAAAAATGAGGAATTGGGGTTTGAGAGCTCCCCTGGTGAAAAATAGGAAGTCAAGATCGCCCCTGCCCTGCCATTACAGGGTGGTGGCTACCCTCTGCCGTCTTGTATTGGCTTTGATGAAAAACAGGAAGTTAAGGCAGCCTCCGTTCTGCCATTACAAGGTGATGGCTACTTTCCACCATCTTGCACTAGTTTTAAGGAAGTTCCCCCCCAGTCCATCTACCCCTCCCTTCCGGAGGAGGACTGGAAGCCCCTCCCGCCTAGGCCCCTCTTCTATGCTACAATGGGAGATTTTCCACAGTTCTTCCCGGTTACTGTCAATCAGGGACAACAGAACCCCAATGTCTGGAATCCACATTCTCATGATACCTTAAGGAAGATGCATAAGGCAGCAGTTGAGGATGGCATTCACTCCCCCTGGTTTGGTCAGTTATTAGCTACAATCGGTCATTTGGCCAATACCCCCTATGATTGGTAGAATATCGCCCGTGCCTGTAAGCAGGGAGGCGATTTCCTTTTATGGAAAGCTGCTTACCAAGATGGATGTGAACAACAGGCAGAGCGCAATAGAAATGCCAATGTCCAAAACATTGGAATTGATGCTCTAGTAGGAAGTGGCAATTTTGAGACCCCTCAAGCTCAGGCACAGGGAACTCCCTGCTACTTTGAACAAGTACGGCTTTGCATGCTTTGTACTTTTTGAAGTATGCCAACTCACAGTGTTACCAAATTAACCAAACTGATACAAAAACCAGGCAAGTCTTTCTCTGATTTTGAGAGATGCCAACAAAGTATAAATAGAAAGATCAGTCATCAGGGAGCTGCCAATGCCTTGCTCAAGGGTCTCGTATATGAAGGCTGCTCTACAGAGTGTCTCCTTGCCATAGGATCCGTTAGACACAAGGATGTCTCTGAGTGGATTCTGGCCTGCCGAGATGTGGGGACCACTCCAGCCCATGCTGCAGCCCTTGCTGAGGCACTGGCTGCTCATCAGCCACAGGCCAAGATGGACAAAGGCAAATGTTGAGCCTGCAGGGGACAGGGCCATTGGTCACATGCCTGTCCTAATAAGATGAAAGAGGCCAAAAGGGGCCAGGTTCCCCCTTCAAAATGCCCAAGATGCCACAAAGGCTTTCATTGGGCAAGAGAATGAAGGTCTAAGGTGGATGCACATGGTAAACCCATACAAAAGGTGCCTTTAAATGGGCAACGGGGCACCTCTCAGCCCTGCCCCAAAGAAAGGAAGTAAGGGAATACACCCCCACGTCCAATGGACAATACCTATTGATTTGCATAAGCCTAGGATGCAACTTTCCCTAGATGGCCATAAGTTTAAAGGCCTAATTGACACAGGGGCCGATATTACTGTTATCAGACAATAAGAAGC